CCGCTAATCTACCACTTGAGCTACCGTGACTTCGATCCACTCGGACACTAACTTCCCATCTCAACCCCACCTTTTGAATTTCCCTCCTTGTTGCCATTTTTCAGGGAGGGTTGAGATGGGAAGTTAGTGTCCGAGTGGATTGAAATCATGATAGCTCAGGTGGTACAGTAGCGGCGTATCTAGCCGAAGGTCGTGTGTTCGAATCCTGCTCGTGACATTGACATCTCAACTAAAAACCTTAATTAATTGAAAGATTAAAATTTAACATGGGCAATGAAATACTATACACACCGTCAGAAAATATTAACAAGAAACAACTTTATTTTCAATTGCAATGTTCACATAAATAATGTTAACAACACGACAACTCGTAATAATGCAATCATAGAATAAAAAAATTCCAATCTTTCGTCACAAACATATACGATTACGACATCCATTTCCAAAGATTGGGATGGTTCAACACTTTCTTACATTACTCTTTACTCCATTTTCTCTTTTTTGAAACTCTCCTCAGCTGCCAACATTAAAATCCATAACACTTACGCGATAAAATGAATAATAAATATATTTATAAATAATTAAATGGGCATTTTTTATTAAGAAATAGGCCATACTTCATATTTCACTTACAATTCATACAAAACTATTATAATAATAAATTGACATTTATATATAGAATTGCTATATCTGTGTATATAATACACTCATTATTTTCTTGTAAAAAATTGCACGAACTTGGAAAAAACTTAATGAAAATCATTTAGTCAAAAAAAAAAAAAAAAAAAAAAAAAAATAAGAAACTTGAATACGGGATCCAGTTGACAACAAGGTGATTTAGTTAGACAGTCTTAACACAAATAATTGATCAGAGTTAAATAGTTGATAATTGATCAGGACACATTTACTTTAATCTTTCAATTTTCTAAATAATTAACCTTTGTGGTAAAAATAAACTGATTGAAGTAATAATTGAAACAGTAAAGTATCGCATTGTTTACGCTTCGAATTGATCTAAACTTAATTAAAAGATCCAATAAAACCATTCGACAACGTTAATTGGATTGATTTTTTTTTAAACGTAATAATACCTACTGTTTTTTCGCTCGTGGAATTTGTAGGCTTTAAATGCACTGCAGTCGAGAAACTATCTTTAAGCAACAGCTTGTATTTATAAATTTTAAAAATCCGATCACTCACTAATGCAAATATTGCATAATAATTGAAAATTTATAAGAATGGAATCTTTTACATTCCGTAAACATCGCCAAGTTTACTATTTCAGTATCGCTTCGTTCACATGTGAAACACAAACATAGAACAGAATAAATTTTTATTTGTACATGTTCACAACAATATATACATACAGGTAAGAGAAATTCCATAATAGTTTGTGGGAATAAATGTATGTTAAAAAAAACCACATGCAGAGGGATGAAGTCTATATATAGAGTTAAATAAATGCATATAAAACGTGTAGATGAGAAGCAAATAAATAAATAATTAAATACATAAATAAGTATACAAATATTCTTATAACTATGAATTAACTATGTAACTATGACAAGTTTATAAGCCAGATACATTGTGTTTGATCCTCTTATGTTTTTATGTTTTTGCATTTGTTGCATATGCACTTATGGATCTGCAAGTGGGATTTGAGGAGACGCTCATACGCCTAAAGAATTTGCGGACTTCATCATATATTTCCTCCTCTACCCATTTCATGTTAGTTCGCAGGTGTAAGTCTGTCAATCTGTAATATCTGGGCGAGACAGTGGCTAGCCGCAGAAATTTATTTTGAATTTCCTACAATTTATTAAGATTTGGGCGTGCATATAGCAACATTGGTTTAATAAATACTTTATAAATTAGTAGATTATTGTGTTGGCTCATGCCAGACTCCTTTCAAGCAATGGGAAAAGTGTTCGTATAGCCGTTTTCTCGATGCCTACCGGATTTCTTGTGTAAGCACTAAAATTCAATTTGGTATCAAGAGTGATCCCTAGATACCTCACAGTTCTTAACCACTTAAACGACTTCCCCTTGAATAATATATTGTGGGAGAGCAGGAGCCTACGCTTAGCGAGTAGCATACATCTAGTTTTGGAACAGTTAATTTTCAACTTCCATGTATCGCAGAACCGACTTACTCTTTCCAGCTCGTTATTAATATTTTGTACGATCGCACCAATCCCCCAGGATAAACTGTAAAGAGCGATGTCGTTGCGGTACAAAGTGATTTGGCAGCATTTGAGCGGAGGAAAAGCATTTACAAAGCTGCAGAAAAGTGTAGGTCCCAGAATTGATAATGTATTTTGGGAAGTTATTTAATCATTCTGTAAAGTATACCATCATGCCATACTGTATCAAAGGCTTTCTCTATATCAAGAAGGACCATCCGTATGTTTTTTAATGTTGAAACGTTCAGTTACGTGATCAACTATTCTAGCAAGTTGGCCTACGGTGCTAAGGCCTGGGCGGAAGCCAAATTGTTCACTCTTAATTATATTATGGGTGACTAGATGAATTTCGATCTTTTTAGCTAACACCATTTGAAAGATCTTGCTCAAAGAGCTGAGTAGGCTGATAGGTCGGTAACTCGGAGGAAGTTCTTGCGTCTTGCCGGGTTTTTTATTGTATATCAATTTGGACATTTTTCAGCACTTCGGGAAATACCCTAAAAAAACTGATGGCTTTGAACAATGAGTTAATAGGACCAGAGCTTTTTTTGGAAGGTTTTTTAGTGTAATATTAGTGACTCGGTCGAGACCTGGTGCTTTTTTATTTCTTCGTGTATGTATTATATCCCGAATTTCTTGTGGAGTGACCAACTTGCACTGCTGGGGAGAAAAAGGGTTAGTGCACATTCAGTTGACATTGATCGACCTCCGTAGTTTAAACTAATGTTGTACTGGATCTTCTTGAGGTCATTCTACAATAAAGAATGAATAAAGAACACAATTTAATTATCTTCGAATTCCTTGTACATAGTTGTAGATAATTAAATTATAATTTTAAGTTAAAAAACAGTTTAGAAGTTGTATATATATATATATATATATATAACGTATCTGTGATAGAAGAAATACATGTACCTGAGATTGAGTATTAACTTATGAAAGAAGTGAGACCAAAGGATGGACCGATGAGTGCCACTAGATTTTAAGCAAGACTATTTTTATTTTAGTATGTAGATTCATTTTCACCTTCATTTAAAAAAACAACAAACATGTGCAATAAATTTAATTGTCCTAAAAACTGGGTAAAGTACGTAATTTTATTTTTATAATGTATGTATATATGATGTGTTATGTAACTCTGTTCATGTAAATTTTGTTTTCAATAAATTAGGCCCTGAAGATGGCAGAACATTCGCTGAAAGCTTGGTGAAACCCAGTAGTGATGTTCTTTATTCACCTGTAGAATGACCTCAAGAAGATCCAATACAACATCATATTTTTAAAGTTGTATTGGACAGTTTGTACTTTGTTTAGGGATATAACTGTTGTTATATGTATATAATAATAATAATAATAAACTGTTCACNAGTTACGTGTGTTGACTAAACGAGAGTCTTTTTAAAAAGAACTTTATTAGTTAAACACAAGTTATTATTTGAGAAGAACCTTTCCTGTTCACGGATATGATTAATCTGAATCTATCTTTACAAGTGTAAAAGGAATAGTGAACAGGGAAGGGTTTATTGCTTACAAACATTCTTCGAATCTGTACAGACGCAACATCATATGTCGCTGAACTAAGGGTTTTGTGCAGGCGTAACTTATATATAGCGTATCTGTGATAAAGAAATACATATACCTGAGATTGAATATTAACTTATGAAAGAAGTGAGACCAAAGGATGGACCGACGAATGTCACTAGATTTTAAGCAAGACTATTTTTATTTTAGTATGTAGATTCATTTTCACCTTCATTAAAAAAAAAAAAAAAACATGTGCAATAAATTTAATTGTCCTAAAAACTGGGTAAAGTACGTAATTTTATTTTTATAATGTATGTATATATGATGTGTTATGTAACTCTGTTCATGTAAATTTTGTTTTCAATAAATTAGGCCCTGAAGATGGCGGAACATTCGCCGAAAGCTTGGTGAAACCCAATAGTGATGTTCTTTATTCACCTGTAGAATGACCTCAAGAAGATCCAATACATCAGTTTAGTGCAATTTGCCATAAATCTCTTAACTTAGTGATAGCCTTTTAAAGATAACGTGGGCCTTGATTGGCGGTGGGAAGGTGGACTGATTGAAAATATTCCCCCATTGCATTCACCTTCTCGTCAACAGTGATGCATGATCTATTATTATAGATGGTTGCTTATGGTCCTTCAGTTTTATGTTTAAGGCGCTTAACTATTTTTCACAGTGAATTATTTTGGGGAGTGACCTTAGATAGGAAATTAGTAGTCCAGCGGTCGTTTCTCAATTTGAGGATGTTGTTATGGATTGTAGATTGTAATAATTTTGTCAGCTTTAAAATAGTTCATAGTTAGCTTCAAAGATAGTTCCTACTCGCAGTAAGTTGTTTTGCAACGATCCGGATTTCGAGCCCTTAGCTCATCATCAGGTTGAAGGAGTTGTACAACCACGTCTCTTGACATGAATTGCAAAAGTGAACCCCCATATTCGAAGTAATATGTTGTACGGTCAGTTACGATTATTTTGGCCAGCGTATCCTTGTTCTTTTGGTCCGTCAGGTGAGTTTCGACTAATCGCCAACTTCAGTTCGTACTGGGTTGCAGAAAAGCCTATAGTCTGGGAAGAAGCTGAAGGTTTCTGCCAGAAGAAAACCGAAAGTTCAGGTGGATCAAAATAAATGAAAACTAAATGTTCATCATCACTCCGCAAAACTGAAATGGAATGACTATTGATTAATTTAATAATTGTGGTTTTTATATGTATGCGGTTGTATTATATACGATTGGTGTTAATATATTTACATACAGGTATTATATAGTTAGTCCTGTTGAAATTACGATGAAAACATTTTATCTTAATTATGTTCCAGGCGATGTTAGCGGTTTGAGACTGATCGAAGTGAGGATCGAAGAGCACACCGTGAGAGGTAACACGACAACCCTCGAGTGCCGGTATGACCTACAGGGAGAAAGCCTCTACTCAGTCAAATGGTACAAAGACGGCCACGAGTTTTACCGTTTCGTGCCCAGGGATCAGCCCCCGGCACAGCTCTTCCCACTCCCTGGAGTACACGTCAACGTGAGTAAACTTCACTGATTAATCGTCATTTTGATAAGACATTGAATACAATACAAAATTTTACAACGAAATAGAACGCCTAGATATGATGTAATTATAGAGTTTCACTGACTACACGGTTGTGTGAAAAACCACCTAGTGCTTAATAACAAGCTTCAGTTTAAAATTCCTTTTATGTGTAATTTCTTGTTACATCATGGTATGATAAATAGACATAAATTGGAAGTAACAGAATCATTATAAAAAAAGTTTACTGTATTAGATTGTAGATTGTGGTTATATTCACCAGTTTTCGTGGTTCGCTTGACCAATTAATATCTTTCAATTAATTAAGGTTTTTAGTTGAGATAAAAAGTCAGTGTCACGAGCGGGATTCGAACACACGACCTTCGGTTAGATACGCCGCTACTTTACCTCTTGAGCTATCGTGACTTCGATTCACACAGACACTAACTTCCCATCTCAACCCACCTTTTGAATTTTCCCTCCTTTTTGACATTTTTCAAATGTCGTGTATCTATTTGATTCTCGGCGACAAATGAATATAGTTTTATCTCAACTAAAAACCTTATTTAATTGGTAAAGATATTAATTGGTCAAGCGGACCACGAAAACTAGTGAATTTAATAAAATAAAACGAAGTATATCTTCACTAATGCTCTCCGTTGCCATTTCATTTGTCGCCGAGAATCAAATAGATTACATGACATTTGAAAAATGGCAAAAAGCAGGGAAAATTCAAAAGGTGGGGTTGAGATGGGAAGTTGGTGTCCGAGTGGATCGAGGTCACGATAGCCCAAGTGGTAGAGCAGCGGCGTATTTAGCCGAAGTTCATGGGTTCGAATCCCGCTTGTGACACTGACTTTCTTATCTATTAAAACCTTAATTAATAACATAAACTGGGAAATTAAAAATTAAAATAATTATTATTAATTTTAATCATTAAAGTACATATATGAAGTGAAACAGAAACATAATAAAATAAATTAACTAAAGTTTAAAAAACGGGAAATGACATTTATCTAAATGTAAGTAGTATATAAAAAATTAAAAAGATACAGGAGATAAAGAAGCAATTATTTACAACTATCAATGGACCATTCAAATCGAATTCTCCAATCGTAGCATGCAAAATAAGTGGCCGGGGTTGGGACCGACCTGTCGGCTATGAAATAATTTCATCCCTTGAACGGATTCCGACCTCAAAATATTAGAACCTGACTTCAACAAACAAAAAGCATTGAGACAGAAAATTCGTTATTTCAAGGATATTATAATAATAAAGGCAACGTCTTTCAGCAGTAGAACCTCGAAACATTTGAAAAATTGCAAAAACGAGGGAACATTCAAAAGGTGGGGTTGAGATGGGAAGTTAGTGTCCGAGTGGATCGAGGTCACCATCGCTCAAGTGGTACAGCAGCGGCGTATCAAGCCGATGGTCATGGGTTCGAATCCCGCTCGTGACCCTGACTTTTTTATCTCAACTCTAAAAACCATAATTAATTGAAAGATTGTGGTTATAATTATATTTACGACAATTTTTTATATATTTTAGTGTAGTTTTAGGTCCAGCTAACTAAATTGTACATCACCAGTCTTCTTCTTCTTACCTTTTCTTTATCATTCTTGCGAGCTTAAAAACGACGAAACTTAGGAATATATAGACATAACACAATCAACACTAAAAAACTGAATGCACAAATTAACAATAACACGCGAACATCATTTTCACCATTTAAAACCATACACAGATTAAAAAGGAAAAGAACCGAAGATACGACAGCCTGGAAAAATAGAAAACAAAATTCGATTTAATCAATCAAACACACCTACAAAAAAACTAATACTTACACAGCCTTCACACGACCTCATAATTAAAACTTCGCTGGACAGAAATCACACAAATATTTTCACGAAGATGGTGAAACATGTCTAACAAAAATCAGCGAGGTTAGGTTGACCAAGATGGTAGGTAACTATGAAACGATTTAAGCCAGAAACACACTTACCCGATGCTACGCCATGCGACGCTACCCGACGCCTTGCCACGTTTTGGTGGGGTGTGCACATCTATCCGACGCAAGCACACGTCAAGTACAGTCCACACCGTTTGTCACAATAATCACTATCACAATCGCAACGCATCTTTTGTTCTTAATGCACTATTTTGAGCAAAACCTTGTAATAAATTGTTAGTTAAATTTTATGAGCACAACCATCTAATAAATTGTTTGTTAAACTTAATTGTTTTAAATAAAGTTACTCCTAACCATCATAATTAAACAATGTTTATAAAAACTTATGCATTTTTGATCTCGTTTAATTTGGTTTACATTAAAATAACATGTTGTAATTAATATAACGACAAAATTACATGTACTTAGTTTGAAATAAACTACAAAAAATATGAGTGTCCTGTTCTGATGCTACCCGACATTACAAAATGGTGTAATTTTACGAGCAAAACTATGAAATAAATTGTTAATTAAATTTTATGAGCAAAACCGTGTAATAAATTGTTCCAATTTTAGTATATGTACCGCCGAAGCGAGTACAATAAATTGTTAGTTAAATTCATTATATAAAAAAATCGTATTCCGGTGATTTGATTGATTTTCTATCAAACCATTAAAATTAATTTTTTAAATAAAAACTAATTAATTTTTAATCACAGTTAATTTGGTTTATATTAAAATAAGTATGTTGTAATTAATATAACGCCAATAATACATGTAGTATATATATATATATATATATATAGGACCCGACGATAAACTGGACAGTGGGGATCACAGAGCGTCGGGTAGGTTAGCGTGGCATAGCATCGGGTAGATGTGCCCGGGGGTAATGCAACCTTATGGAAAATCGTAGTTTGGATTTGCGTCGGGTAGCATCGGGTAGCGTGGCATGGCGTAGCATCGGGAAAGTTTGTTTCTGCCTTAATTCACAAAATTTAATAAACAAATAACACGTGTCACATGAAGGTACAAAATTCTATATATAATTTAAAACATATATTACCATCAGATATAGGAACAGTACTCTCCACCTTTATCCGTCCTTCAAGGCCGCGCATAGAGAATTTGGGATGTCATTTCTTTCCTTGTAGACTTAGTTTTTAGGAGCTTTACCGTGATAATTTCTCCACACAACAGGCAACAACAAGTTTTCCTGGTATGACGTATGTGCAACCTGGTAATTATGTTTTCCCTTCTAGTCCTTTTTCTTCTAATCTTTTTCCATTGTCCTATATCCCATTGGACGAGAATTGAGAGCAGTGTCCTTGGTAGAGTTTCAGTATGTTTCACATCCTCCACACTGTCAAAAGCTCTTGACTGAAGCATTTCTTTGACTCTGATAGACACAGGTCACGTCCGGGTACTTAGGAGTTCATAATTGTCACAGTGGTTTGGGTCAAAAAGGGTTTAGTGCAGGAAGTGGTCCGAATTTGCCCATTTGGTCACGGAGTATTTGAGGCTCTTCACTCTGAAAAGTGGGCGGTATGACTATACACAGGAACTGTTGAGTGAGCTTGTTCTGATCCCGCTAGTATTTAATCGAAGTAAACATTATCTACCCAACCATTTATTATACGAAAAACATCGATCATGATGCTTATTAATAAAACTCCTGAAATATACAAGGTTTTTGTTTTCTGTCATTGTTCTTTTGAAAGTCAATAAACCAAGGTTTCGTGAACAAGAAACTGCCCTATTGACAAAAATCTTAAATTTCTGTATACACTATGCTATTCTCAACTTGTGTTATGTTTTTATTCATTAAATAATCAATAAAACATAATTTCATTCTACATCTAGAGCTAGCTATTCTACATATGAGAGTAGCTACCATTATTGGCGTGGATTTGTGAATTCTATCTTACGGCAATGGCATTATCTATACAAATTGATAATTTTAACATTGTATGTACCGTATTGAAGACACTTCTTCATTCCCGCAAATTTTTAGTAGAACAAGGAGAACAATCGTATTGTACAGAAATGTTAAAATCGTATGTCACGAATGTGTATCATTCAAGATACTAATCTTAGTTTTCACTTGATTACTGGTGTGGAGTTTAGGTGAAATCATTAGTGAAATTTCACCTCATCGTTTCTAATCTGTGGGAAAATTGATGGTCATAAACTAGTTAACGTTATGGATTACGTCCATAATCCATCTTTAGGATCTTTAGGAAAATAGGGGGATCTTCCAGAAAACATCTTTTACGTCAGCTCCTTTTTTTTAAAATAAATAATAGCTCATTTTATTCTAGTTTATTATTATTTTTTCGAGTTTTATGTTAAAAAAAACGACTTTACTATTAAAACCGTAATGATTTATTAACAGCTATTTAAGAAATGATATAAAAACATTTCATTAACATAAATTTTCTTTATTATAATCAGTTTTTAATTTGTGAGATCAGATTAGGGTTACAAAAGGGTTGGGCTAATACAGGATGTTAATAAAAACTAAACATAAAATATTATGTACCAAGTTTATTTAGCAGGAGTATGGATGAAAATCTGCATATTTACATTATTGCATTTCTATCGAGCCCTTGTGATGAAGGGTGTCCGCCCTTTGAATGTCGGTTTAAAAAATGGATTAAGCTTACTGAAAATTTTGTATACACTTCTTGTTTTATCTGTACTCTAATAAATAAAACATTTAAACTATTCTTCGAGAAGTAGATAAAATATACAATTTTAACTTTCGAATTTGAGTAATATACAATATTATAACTATATAGTAGTGAAGAGAAAAAACATTATTTACGTTATAATTTTTCATTTTTTAATAAGTCCCTGGCAAATCCAAAAGAATATCTCAAAACTCATAGCACATCGTCTCTAAGCGCAATATCTTTTCCACTGTTTCTTTCTGAATTTCAATGAACGATCTTTATCATGGGTTGAAATGCCTTCCAGGTTGCAGGCCCGTGGGAAAGTGTCTAACGTCTAAAACCGAGAGGGTTTGGCCGACTCCAGAAAAAC